TTGCTCTGTGATAAGCAGAGTACCAGGTGCCTTCAACTGTGTCATCTCACCAAAGCCCCACTCTACCCCAGTGAACAAGGCTTAATTACCTACCTCTTTCCAATAAGATTTTTTTTTTCACAGTGCTGGAGATTAATGAGAAAATTGGCATTCAGAGATATTAATAAATGTGCCCAAATCATATAGCTAGTAAGTGCTCAAACTCAAATTCAAACCCAGGTTTACTAGTGACCAACCCAATTCCACACTGTTTGTGGGTTTTTTGTTTTTGTTTTTTTTTGGGGGGGGGGCACCAGGGATTGAACTCAGGGGCACTCGACCACTGAGCCACATCCCCAGCCCTATTTTGTATTTTATTTAGAGACAGGGTCTCACTGAGTTGTTTAGGGTCTTGCTAAGTTGCCAGGGCTGGCTTTGAACTTCAGATCCTCCTGCCTCTGCCTTCAGAGCTGCTGGGATTACAGGCCTGCAACAGTACAACCAACTTTTCCTGTTCACACTACCCTGAAGTGAAAATGCAGAAGAAATGGTCTGTGAGTTAGTAAAGATAGATCAACCCTTAGAGATTTAGTGAAAGCTAATTAAATGCCAATCTAGAACATGGCAAAGACTAGAGTAGGAAGGACAGGCGTCTAGGACACAAAATTTAAGAAGGCACACTCCCAGGGTCCTGCAAAAGCCCCTACTGAATCATGCTAAACAAAACCCAAGTATTTATCTGTCCAGATCCCTGATCACTAGATCAGGGAGTGTCTAAACACATTCCAATCCTAAATCCCATCCTTTCCTAACAGCAAAGTGAAGCAAATTTCACCATATTGACAAGAAGATGGTCTATTTAATCCAGGGTTGAACTTACATGTCTTTAAGTACCTTACACTAGGGCCCTACACTAGGTGCCTTGGTAACCTCAGTCCTGGTCTATTTTTGTTTTTGTGGTCTTAGGGATCAAATCCAGGACCTTGTGTGTGCTAGGCAAACACTTTATCACTGAGCTATATCCAAAGCCCTCTCAACTCTGGTATGGAGACTCATCCTTCCCTTTCTTACTCCAGTCTCAAAAGAGTTTTAGGGCTGTGTTGGCAAAAAAAAAAAAAATTACTGTGAAGCAATGGTGATAATGACGACAATGATGATGCCATTATTTGACTGCTTACTCATTTCCAATTTCTGCCTGAGCATCACCTCCCAGAGAGGCCTTTCCTGAGGACTATATATAAACATCAATTCTCCTCACTTGCTAGCCCAATATTCTGCGTTGTCTTCTTACCACTTATTAGTTTCAACACGCACACATTCATTTATTCATTCATTTGTTTATTGTTGCTGTCTCCCACTAAGATCTAAGTGTAATAAGAACTTTTTTAAATCCACTGTTGTAACCCTGAGTTTGAAGAGTGCCTGGCCTAAAGTAGACCTTCAATAAAAATATGTCAATTACTTAATGACCTTGTCTACATCCATGTGACCCTAGAGCCTGTGCTCTTATTCACTAAGATCAAACTAAGATCTACCGGTGCAATCCAAAGTTTCTGTACAAGGACTGTGCCCTGGGGGATCACTTCATTTTCTTGATTTTAAAACATGTAAACAGTCAGCTCTTATTTTATGTCAACTACCTGAGAAACAACTCTCACTTCCTCTCCTGAAGATGTTTTCCCCTTCTAAAACTGCAGTTAAAGCTCAGGTTTCTTTGTCAACAGTTTTGATACCCCCTCCAACTCTATTTCAGTTGCCCATAACATCACATACTTCATTCCTTCCAAAATGAACACAAATACTGTAATACAAAAGATCAGACTCACCAAATATGCAAGCAGCTCAGTCTGGATAACCTCCAGGCTATGATTGCAGATAACATACTACTGACCCCTGCTATTTAATCCCACATAGGGGAGGTGGCAATCTCCCCCGCCCAGCTCCCACAGAATTAATTCTCTTGAAAACAGGCACCATCACATGCTATAGACAAAGGGATTGGTCTCACCCATGCATCCTGGTAAGATCACATCCTGTATTATAGGAGCCCAAGAATAGGAAGCATCAAGGGATTTGATTGCCAAGGAAGAGTCCCTTCTTCCAGCTGCCAAGGAAATTCGACATGGCAACTCTGCACCCTTTGCAAAATGCTTTTAGAAACTGTATTCTGATATCCATTTGAACAAAACAACAAAGAAGGTAATGCTCAAAAGTAAAAAGCAAACATACTTATTAACTTGATACCCAAAATATGGCAGAAAGCCATCAAACGGAAGCATCCATCCTCAGTAAGGAATGCATGCTGAAAACAGAGGGTGTCTGTCACTGTGACAAAATACAGAGGAAAAACAATTTAAGGAGGAAGATTTTATTTTGGCTTGTGGGTTAAGAGGATTCAGACCATAGTCACTTGGCCCCATCACTTTTGGGACCAGGGTCCTAATATCCCCTTCAAGGGCATGCCCCCTAATGACATCACTTCCTCCAATTAGGCCCCACCTCTTAAGAGTTCTAGCACCATCCTGGGGACTAAGCTTTTAGGGCATGATCTTTGAGAGATATCTCAGAGCATAAGAAGCATTATGGTAGTAATTCTTTTTTTTTTTTTTTTTGGTTGTTGTTTAGAAAGTCACTGAGTAGCCATACTAAAGGTCCTACTTTGCAATCCAAGTTGGCCAACTGTCTCCCTTTAAACAATAAAGGGATGATACTCCTCGGGGACAAGGCCATGGTTATTGTGTTATTTAATTTGACACTATAGTTATGAAAAAATACTTAGTTTGTGATTAAATCAGATATTTTTTTTTTTTTTTGGTACCGGGGATTGAACTCAGGGGTACCGATCACTGAGCTAAATCCCCAGCCCTATTTGTATTTTATTAGAGGCAGGGTTTCACTGAGTTGCTTAGCACCTTGCTGTTGGTGAGGCTGGCTTTGAACTTGCAATTCTCCTGTCTCAGCCTCCTAAACTGCTGAAATTACAGGTGTGTGCCACCATGCCCAGCTCCCTGAATCAATTATCTTTAATTGACTTTTAAAAATGATTCTACCTCAGGGCTGGGGATATAGCTCAGTTGGTAGAGTGCTTGGCTTGCATGCACAAGGCACTGAGTTCAATCCCCAGCACCACAAAGGAAAAAAAAAAACTACCTCACTGGGCACAGTGGCCCAACCCTGTAATCCCAGTGACTTGGAAGATCACAAACTTGAGGCCAGACTCAGCAACTTAGACCCTCAGCAATTTAGCCAGACCCTGTCTCAAAAAAAAAAAAAAAAGGTGGGGGCTGGGGATGTAGCTTAGTGGCAAAGTGCCCCTGGGCCTGAGTTCGATTTCCCAGTAGGAAAAAAAAAAAAAGATTCTAAGTCACTCTCTTAAATACTGAGATCCCAAACTGATCCTATTGAAATTGCACTACTAGTTAGTTCTTCAGGGAATTAATATAGTGATTTAAAGATCAAATAGATAAGTATTTTATTTTCAAAGGAAGTAAAGCCTTCTCGGACTATAACTCTGTTGGGATATTTCTGGAGTACATTTTAGGGCTTACTAGTATTATTGCCATTTTTCTCCCTCATATTATCACTTTATATGTGCTGAAAGATTTCATTTTGTAGCACATCACACAATCAGGATTTTTTTTTTCTTGAAGGCAAGATAATGTCACCACAATGGTGAAGACAATATTTTTTAAATGAAATTATATCTAATGACACCCAACCAATAGGGTAGCAAATTTCAAAATTCATATTTTTAAAACACAAAGATGCATAAAGCGAATTGTAGTCTAAAGGGCACAGAAAAATTATCTAGCGATGGATTGAGCTCTGTGAACAATTAGAAACAATACTGAAAGCTGCTCATTTATGTCCCTCCCCTGTCATCACCTTGTCTGGGTCTTTCAATGATGGACTAAGAAATATAGAAAAAAAAAGCAGGGTTTTCAATATGGTTTTTCTTTGAGGAACAATAAAAACATTAAACTTTATACATTTAAGTGTCTGTGCACCGAATGGTAGCCCTTTCATGGGAGTCCAGCTTGGGTTTTGTCCGGGTGGGGAAGTAGGGAGGGCGTCTGTGAATACCCCCAGAGTCATTTAAAATATATAGTATTAGCTAATTGATGAGAGGCCTAAAAACAATAGTAAGTAGGCAGCCTGGCTGCAAGCCAGGAGCAAGGCTTTATGGTGAAAGCGAGTTTACATTAGAGGCCTGTTTTTCCCCTTTCCTTATATGAAATGAACAGCTGTAATTGAAAAGCAAGGAGCTCTATGGTTTATAGAAATAGGTGTTGTGAAGAGCCTTGGCCGTCTAATTTTCTTCCTATTGCAGGGCAGGCTTCCATTGTCTGTTTTTTAGAGCTAATTTCTTTTCTGATCAAAAGGCCCACGTCGTTGAAAAGGTAGTAATGACTATTCATTTGGCTGAAGCTTCCATTCTCCAGACTGCAAGCTTTATTTAGAAATGGCTATTTCTTTCTAAAAGGAAAAGTTCATTTATGTCCTCTATAATGTCAATTAAAGTAGAATATATTTTAATTATTTATCCTGAGGAGAAACCTTTTAGGAACTTAATTTAGTATGCCTATGCTATGCAGGCACTACAATATGTGAATGTGGAATGATATCTAGGCACATGGGTTTTATTTTATTTTACCACTAATGAATAGTTTATTTGCAACTAATTAACAAGTTAAATCGGCAAAATTAGTGTCGGATTTCTTTAATAATATTACTTATAAAGGGATAGCCATTGGAACTAGAAAATAAGGTTGGTTGTTGGCTTTGTAAAGAAACCATTCCACAAAAGGGGCAGTTTTTTCCCATTAGAAAGGGCTATTGGGACGTTCTTCCCCGTTGCTTTTTCAAATGAAAGCGAGGCTGTGCTGGGGGAGGAAATGTGTTCAGAAACAAGGGGAGCCGGTGTTAACTCACAAACATCACGTTAGCAAAGCTTCGAGGTCCTAACCTGGCGACGCTTTCCAGAGAAATGGAACAGGGGTGACAGCGGCCTAAACGCCATAATGCCTGCGGGGCCAGGCCTCCCGACAGACCTCGCTTTGTCGCTTGTCTGGCCGCCGGCCCGCGGGAAAACGAGCCCGCCTGAAGACAGGCATCCTCCACTGCAACAGGAAGCTGTTCCAGGGCCGCGGCCTCCGCTTCGCTCTAGGTCAGGAGCAGCGGCCTCGGAGCTTCACACGACGGTCACTGGGACGCTGGCGCCCGGATGTGCCAGAGCCAGGGCTTCAGGCACTGCGTCCGCTCCGCAGCTCGCTGGGCTCGGCGCGCACGCACCAAGGAGTGAGCGTGGCCCCTGCGGGCCGGGGCGTTTCAGCCCCAATCAGGCCCGGCCCTGGTGGAGGACTTTGCGCTTCCCATCCCGCGTGATTACTGTGTGGATCAGCTGGGCGGACGTGGGGAACACTAGGTGAAATGTCATCCGCTCTCATTGAGGAGTCCTCTTGAGGCTTTACCAGGCCACCTCCACTTTCAGATGCGGAGCAGGAAAGGGCAGTCTCAAACCAGTACTTGGCGCATAACTTAGCACATAGTAGGTACATGACAAAAGTTTGGTGTCATGAAAAGAAATGACAACCCAGAAGAGAACACAAATTATGTGCATCGAATTCCATGGCTCTCCACTTTCTTAGAAAATGAAAACGATAAATAAAAAAGGAAAGAAAAAAATGAGAAAAAGTACAGGTGGATACTGCTTTGAGATTCAACTTTCCAGAATGCTCTCTACCCCATCCCTGATGCCACCATCCTGCACCCCTGAGGTTGGAGCAAGTGGTCTTGCCTGCTCACACTGCAAGTGCCTGGAGATCCACTGATTTTCTAGGCACATTTCTCTGGCAAGGGCTGTCAGGTCTGGTGGGCTTTTTGCCTCCCCCCCCCCCGCTGTGTGAATACCCATGTGGAATTGCGAAGCCCTGTGATAGCTTAACCTTATGTTCTGATAACGATTTTAAGATCGTTTTTCTGGCTCTGGCTTCCTACAGGTCACCTCACGAAGGCCATGCCTTAGCAGCCACTGAAGGAGGTGGAAGCGCAGGCCCAGTGGGAGCACAGGCCTCGCGGTAGGGTGCCGGGTCCCCCGAGGATGCCCCGCAGGGTGCTGGTTAGGTGCAGAGCTGAGCTTGCTGAGAATTGTGACGGATGGGGGCGGGACGGGGAAGGTAAAGACGCGGACTATAGTAGCTCAAAAGACCCTCTAGAATTGGACCCAGTTCCTACGCAAGAGTCTTCCTTCTGCCTCCGGAGACACTGCAATGATGTCAGCGAGGGGGCGCTGAAAAAGGAGGTTGTCAAATTCCTCATAGTTGTTGCACACCTAGGGAAAAGGACTGGTAATTAATATCTTAATACTCTGTAAATGGAAGCAATCTTTACAACTGAGCGCCAAGATGTGGACCAAGGGGACTCCAGTGTATCTAAGCACAGTTCAGTTAACCCAGTGACTGGAACTCAGACGCCCTTCCCCCAAAAGAGCTACACCAAAGTGCAATAGAATACAATAGTACCACCCATTGGAGATTTTATGATATTTCGAGGACCATGTTATCATACCTCGCAGCTCCTAGCAACATTTCTTTGCAGAATATAAGCCCCAGCTTGTACCTACCAGCCTAGGGTCTTCAGCCCCTTTCCAGACTTAAGAAAGGTTGTTTCTATTGGAGGTTGGGGGTGGTGCTGCTGGTTGGCAGGGTGCAGAGCAGGGTGGGGTTCCCACATAATTTTCCCGGGAAATGATGTGCTGTCTCTTCCACTTGATTAGTGATAGTGACCTTTCCGACCTCTTTACTAAGGATTATTCTACAATAGACGCAAGCCTCTATTTCTTGATCAAGGTCCCCAATCTGTGATCTAAATACACGATCTTAGCTAAACCACAGTAAATAGTCAAGAGATGTTTTCAAGGAAGAAATAGGAATAACTGCCTTTTAGAAACCCAAGTTTTTAGGTCTGCTGGAAAGCAAAGCGTTTCCGAGGATCTTCAAGATAAGTCGTTCTCACTGCCTCAAATATAGACCCAGCGCTGGGCTTGGCTGTTCTTGAAAAACCTGAAAGGGAACCTGGGCTACTGCATGAGAGCCACCCTTGATGACCCTATTGTCAAGCTTCAGAGAGCCTGGGCAAACCCCAAAATGCCCTCCCTCCCCACTCTCCCAGCAGACATCTACTGACATTCACCCACTCCACCCAGCAGGCAGGGGGCACTTCTAAGAGGCTTGGTTCTAACCTGTCGGATCCCTGAAAAAGTTCCCCCTTAAGCAGTTACTGAGGAAGAATCAATGCGGGACAATCCCTCTTTTGCTTTCTCTACCAATAAATTTAGCACTAATTGCTAAGAAGGTACTTTGCAGAGATGAGGCCCTGGGGACACCCGATTTTTGCCAAGCCCGCAACAGGGGTAAAGGCAGAGCAGGGCTGTCCTATGTACCCAGAGTCTGCTGGGCCAGTCACGGTAGAGTCTGGATCTCCAGTTTTGCGGTAACTCGCACTCTTAAGGATGGGCACTACTTCTGCCCAGCGACCAAGCCGGCTGCACCTCTTTCTAGGATTGGGGTGACCTTAAGGACCCAGAGGGCAGGAAGGGGCGACTCTGGGTGAAGTTTCCAACCGAGCCAACAAACGGCGCTATTGTCGCGTCCTGGGTCCTGGGAGCCCCAGGCCCAGCTCCAGTCGGAGGGAGCTTTAGCTCTCTTGGGAGCGCGGGGGAATGGGGAGGGGGCGCTTGGCCGGGTTCCTAGCCGCGGATCCAGGGCTCTGCGCGCCGCCTACGGACTCCCGGAGGTCCGGGAAGGAGAGACTACTGGGGAGCGCTCCCTCTCTTCTTCTGGAGAGGTTAGAAAGGGCCGATTCCAGGTCCTGTCGTATTATTCTGCTTTCCTTGATGGGTACAGGGTGCACATTAGAGACTGCATTTCATGCCCCGCCAGCCGTTTGGCCTCCCTCCCAGAAACCCTCGCCAGATCCGAGGTCACTCGGGTAAGGTGCCTCGGCGACATTTCTCCCGATCCTCAGAGAAAGTCGCCCCGCAGGGCCGGGGCTTTAGTCTTCACTGCTAGGTGGACCAAAAGAACTGGTTTCCTTCCAGCCTTCCCTCCACCTCCCCACTCCCACAATGGTAGCCTTGCTTCTCTACGGAAATGGTAGTTTGGATCAGAAAGTTTCCTCGGAAGAGTTTCCAAGGGAATTCAGCGTGGCACTTGGTCTGTGCAGACCACCCCAGAGCCACCAGGCGCAGAGATCGGTTTAATCACAGCCACCGCAGGAAGCCCGGGGGTGGGAGAGGGTGCCTGATGCTGGCAAGACATTCATAAATCTGGCAGGAGAATATAATGTGAAAATGTGCTCACGTAAGCTACGGACTAGATATGATCAAATGACAAACAGTCGGGAGCAGTGACTAGGTTTTCCAGATAATCTGCGTTGGGAAGGAGCTCGGGGACCAGCCCGATATCCTCTACCATGGGAAATATCCAGGCAAGGCGCTGTCACCACAACGGCTTACTTGGGTCCTAAAACTTGGAAAGAATCCTGACATCTGTCAGGCTACTGGACGCCAGGCCGCGCGTCGGTTGGGTAGTTTCCTAAAACGCTCTTCACTTAGCAACAGCCCCGGGGCCCAGAAAAGCAGAGAGAGGGCTTGTGGGGAAGACAGAGGGAGGGCAGGGGCCACTGCACATTGGCTTCTTTAGGGAACGGTGGGTTTGCCTAAGAAAATTTGACGTTGTAAACCAGATTGCCAAAAAAACAGGTGCAGTTAGGGATTGCCGAATCATGCTGGTTTTTTTTGGGGGGGGGATATGCGTTACAGACCCTGTTAGCTGGGTTGTGCACAACCGTGCGCGTGCGCGCGCGCACGCACGCACACATACACACACACACATTATATATATACCCACACACAGAACCTTTCCAGACAGTTTACTTTAAAATCCTAAATCCGTACAGTCATCCAATAGATTATAACCCTTGGCCGCGGACGACTCAGACCAGGTGGAATACAAACTTTAGGGGCGGGATTCAGGACCCCAAACTTCCAGAGGGTGATGCCGGCTGGGAGCCGGGATTCTGGTGTCAGCAGACGGTCTGGCCAAGTGGGGGCTGGCCTGCTCTGCGCCACACAAGCCACAGTGGCTTCCTTTTTAAGTAGTGCAGGAGAGAAAGCGGGTAAGAGCCCGGCGTGCAGGCGTCCCGGGATCGTCTGCTTTTGCATTAATGCTAAAAAAACTAGAAGCCTGGGATTTTTCCTTCCACGCTTAGGATTTATGTTTTCCTTTTGGTTTCCCACCTTTCCATGGGGCTAAGGGGAGAAGCGAGATCCCACACTGCGCATACACCTTATTTCGGTTTCTGCCACATCTGCCCAGATGGTTTCTCATTCCCACTTGCCGCCTCGGGCGGCTCGGGGAGTTTCAAATGCTGTGCCACTCGCTTGAGCTGGCAGCGGCGAATGTCGGATTCCCTCTCTCGGTAGACGGGGTTCCAGTGCCGCCGCAAGTCTTTGGCAGACAACCCGACAAGCGACTGAATGTCCCGCTCTAAGTCTCCAGGCTTCTCCAGTCAGGAAGGCTGTAAAACAAGAAAGGAGAAGCACGGAATCCGTTAGCAGAGCCTGCTCTGGGGAAAAGCGGCGCGGCTACGCGCGGAGAGCGGCTCTCAGCAGTCCCGGCAGGTGCGCGGACAGCGGAGGGGGCCCGGCGGTCCACCCGGAGGACCGCCTCGGCTCCGCTCGGGCCACCGTCCCCCTCTCCAAGAAACTTTTCTTTCACTCAGAGAGGCTCCGTGTTGCCATGAAAACGGATTTTCCAAGGGGCCCGACCCTCCCCCTCAGGGGCATCGGACTGGAAAAACCGAAATGGCCAGAGAGCAGAGACAAAAAGGGGCCGCTAAGCGGGGGCCGGGAGCGAGAGAGCGGAGACCGGTTCACCCCCTGCGTCCCACACATACTACCGCTCCACCGCGTGCAAGAGCCTCCGCTAGGCTTGGGCGGCGGGCGGCTGACCGCTCGCCCTCCCGTCAACCCCGGGAGATCCTCACTGCCCGGTGTACTCGGCAGTACTGAAGCCTGTCTCCGATGCCCTAGCCCCTGACCCCCCGCTCGGTCCTGGACGCACTGGCTCTCCCAGCAGAGGGTCTGGGAAACTAGTGGCCAATTCCAGGGAGGGCTTCTTGGAGGCGCACCCCAGGGCACCTCTGTTGCGCCTTGAGTCCCCCAAGCCCGCCTGGGTAACTGGCGGTGCCTAGTATCCCTAGCGCTGGCAGCAGAAGTGGTTGGAGGTCCTCTGTGCAGACAGCGGGAAGCTTTGCAAGCTGGTCCCGGAATGGGGCGCTGGTCCGCCCTGACAGGGTTGCAAAGTTGTTTTCGGAACCCCGCCGGCGCCCCTCTGCCCCTCCCCCCAATCCTGCTCGAGCTCCCCATTTCCCCCCCTCCATCACCTCCTCGGGTTTCGTTCTTTCAAACTTTTTGAGACCCTAATTGGTGGTCTCTGAGCGGGTCTCCAGGACTCCCGCCTCCTGAATAACTCTCGTCACGTTATTCGGCCCAAAAGGGGCGTGAGGGGTGAACCAAAGGGCTCCCCCAACTTTTTTTTCTCAGCTGGGCCAAACGGGGGCTCGCTTATGATTGGCCAGAGCTCATCACAGTGAGCCTGTCAATCACGGGGCCTACGGGTGGAGAGGGGCGGACCAAACCCCAACCCCCCGGGGAATCCGAGCAGGTATATAAAGGGGCCCGGCGAACACCCGACCAGGCTGCGAATACTACCAGCTCAAGACAACGCATCAGGTGCGTGTAGCCTGCGGGTTCCCGCTGACTTGGCGCGGAACGCTTAGGCAAGCCTGTCCTTCCCGCTGGCCCTCCGGCCCCCAAGCGTCCCTCCGACGGAGTCCCCAGGCCTTTTCACCGTGGCCGCTCCAGCCCCTGGAGCGCCTTCTCCTCCCGCCACGCTGGCGCACCTTCTTCCCGCCCCGGCAATGTACAGCCTGCTGGAGACTGAGCTCAAGAACCCGGTGGGGCCACCCACCCCAGCAGCAGGCACTGGCGGCCCTGCAGCCTCCGGCGGCGCAGGCAAGAATAGCGCGAACGCAGGCGGCGGCGCGAACGCAGGCGGCGGTAGCAGCAGTGGCGCAAGCGGTGGTGGCGGGGGCAGCGACCAGGACCGCGTGAAGCGGCCCATGAACGCCTTCATGGTATGGTCCCGCGGGCAGCGGCGCAAGATGGCCCTGGAGAACCCCAAGATGCACAACTCTGAGATCAGCAAACGCTTGGGCGCCGACTGGAAACTGCTGACCGACGCCGAGAAGCGACCGTTCATCGACGAGGCCAAGCGACTGCGCGCCGTGCACATGAAGGAGTACCCGGACTACAAGTACCGGCCACGCCGCAAGACCAAGACGCTGCTCAAGAAGGACAAGT